AAACCAAGAGAGTCTCAAGAGAGACTGACAAATTTGAATAAAAATATTAAAAGCTGACACACTGTGCTAAGCACTTAGAGTAAAAAACGAATTTCACTTTTTGATAAAAGACCCTTTCCGAATAATTGTGGTAAGTCAGTAACAGTGGGTGATTTTCTTTCTGGTTGAAAGGAGATATTGATGGCAAAAGTTGTATGCCAGACAATATTACTAATCTCTCATGGTAGGTTTTCTAATCCTAAAATGTGTGGGAAAGTGTTGGAGAAAATGTCATAAACCACATCGGTAGCTACAGCGTTGCATGTGTATTGGAACACTTACAGCAGCCCCCGCCAGTCGCACTTTTCCTCCATGCAGTAACACCCCCTAATTCATAAAAAGTTGTCTGATATGCCTTAGAGAATATGTGAGTATTTCCATAGCTCAATTTTTCTGAATATAATTCGTTCCTTAGGTATATGAAGGTTAATATGTATGTTCTTTTAAAATACCATTGGAAATATTTTACCGGAAAATAGAATTACATAAGTTGTTACCAACTTGCTTTTTGAAAAGATAGTGGAGCAAAATAAGGTTCAGGATGTATATATGATTCGGGATCTTCTGATATACCAGCCGGAGGCACCAGCTTCAGAAGAGATTGACATTGGAACTAGTACATACACACGGACACAAACTTGAAAGATTTATAAGGTGTGTTCGGGTAACTGGGAGGCTTGAATTCCTCTTGTATCTACTGCGATAATTACTTTTGGACTTGGGTTCTATTTATAATCTCTTTAAATGTGATTACTTGATGCATGTGGACATGCAGCATCAATGGGAAGTCACACTCATAATGGGAACAAGGAAGGGCTATGACTTGGATTTTAAGGTCATAACGTAAGTATGTTTGCCAGAAAAAAAGAAGTGCTGGTAAGAAGCCTTTCACTCATATTCACGGAACTACCAGAGGTTCTTTTTCTTAGCTCTTTTCAACGTTGGTTTTCTAACTGAACAAAACCCGTGTTTGTCATATTAAAACTCTTTTGTTTGCCTACTAAAAGTTTGCTGTCATCTACACCATTAACTTTTAAATTCAGCATTAGCTTACTTGTCCTCATCCAAGAAAAAAAAATGTTATCTCCTTTGTTAGGACACAGTTTCCTGTTCTTGAGGAAGCCTGCACCAGGGTAACCCTAAATCAGCATGATGAGAGAAACCCTCTTCCTTCACAGACAGATAAGCATACCCAGACTTGCAAAAAGAATAATAGAAAGTAGACTAAAGAAAGGAGGAAAGAAAAGGGGTAAGGGAGGGGAGAGATGAGGAATGGAGGGCATTTTGCTGCGATAAAACAGGGAAAAAACGCTTGGTCTCGAATGTTCTTTCCATGGGTTAATGATGCACTTCCATACGCTTGCTCATCTCTGTATTTCTCAGGTTCTTACCTGTGTCCTCTAGAAGTATCACTTGTATTCAGAACAGAGACCTCTAAAAGACCAAGCTGTTATGCAGCTAATGTTAACAAGCCTGAGGCCAAACCTAACTTTAAATTCCTTCACTTTTAGAAAAGGAAAGGAACCTTATGATTATAATATCAAGTCATACCAGGGAAATCTGACAAACATTTGATTCCCAAATGCTTGTCAAAAATGCCAGATTTCTTCAGTGTGGGCAGCTGGGAAGAAACAATGGAACCTTTTCTGACTCATGATCGTGCACCATCTATGAGTTCAATATTAGAGAAAGCCACAAAGAAATAATCTGGGACCTGTTTGTGGTAAAGGTCAGTAACTGAAAATTCTCAAAGACACAAAATGCAGAATGACATTAGCTTGCCTGTCATTCGAGACATGGCAGATCACTCAGCAGTGTTGAAACAGCAGAATTTGGTTGTGCTAGCCGACCCATGTGGAGGTCCAAAAGGGTGATGGTCTTTTGTCAGAGCCAGGAAAATAATGGCAAAAGAAAACCACAGCCGGAGGTCAGAGAAGAGTAGCTTAAGGAAGTAGGCACCTAGGAGCCAGATCCTGTATCTGCCCCAAGGAAGTCCTACCTCTGAAAGGTAAATGCACAGAATTAGGCAAGTGTTTGAAGCTCCAAAATGCACAACGAGGGGTATCTTGTTTAATGGTGGTGGAGCTGAAGGCAAGTGTTTTTCCTGATATTGATCATAAGAATGGAAATAAAGATGTTGTACTTGAACTTGACTCTGGAAAAAAAATTGTTTTAATCTCTGAGCCCAGGTAGGACTTAACATTTTTATTTCTGTTGTGTCATATCTCAAATTACAATCATGCTGGAACAGAATAAATGGTAGAATGCTGGGCATAACCAGCCCATCCTGTGCGCATAGAGTTTATAGCAGCGGCCAATGTGTGAAGTCTGGCTAAGGCAATAACTAAGGTTTTCATTTATTTTTCAAATTAAAAAAAAAATGTCAGAATTAAACATTTCAGGACATCTGATGGCAGTAAAAGAACTTACCAAACAGGCTTATTTAGACTTTCCTGAGTGTGTTTTGCACTGTGATAGCCAACTATGGGGACAAAAGAAAATTGAAGAGCTTGATTTTTCTAGGGGTACAAGCTACACTTACAAGGTAACAGTTAGCAATCATTTAAAGCCACAATTGAAGTGATGTCATGAAACTGAAGTTGGTGGCAAGTGACAGCAAGTCACTGATGTGATGTCACTTTGCAACCATTGTACCATACTGGGTCCTCACTTACTTGAATATGTGACCTTTTACAAGCTGTGAACCTTCCCTGATGCTCAACGGTTGCATCTTAAAAATGGGTGTTGAACCTGAGACGCCCCTTCTCTAAAATCTTTGTGTGTCTTGGATGATTTTCAAGAGTCTCTGTATGGATGCTGTAACATGCAATCACCCTTTCTTCCTTTCCAAATAGGAAACCAGCTGAAGTCAAAATACTGCAGATCAAAGAGGAAACCAGGGGTGGTAAAAGTAAAGGAGCAAAGTGAACCTTCCATTAACACAAAATATCTATTGATGCTGATCAACCAGCATCCATAGTTTCACAAGTGAGAATAAAATGTGTAGAATCTAGTCAGCTTGCCTCTAGCTGTTTAACCTCAGAATCTGGATAAACCAGTAAGTGATGAATACTTGAACTGGAAGGTGGCAGGAAGAAATGTAATCACTGCTTAAATAAAACAGAAAATATAGAAATGATTTCAAATTAAAAAAAGATCTAATGTAAAAATTGAAAACTCATTTATTTAATATGGTCTCTGCTGCACCCCTTTGATTTTAAACTCAAAGAACGATTATTGTTAGTGGCAACTGATATATATCTCTAGCTATTCTCTGTCATTCAGGAATAAAAACTAGAGCACTGTTTGTACTTGTAATCCTGTTAGGCTAGATTTTGGGGTTTAATTTAGGACTGATTCCATGACATTTATATTTAGCTAATGCCTTCAAATTATTATATTGGTTCAACTAGAGTGATATCTCTCTTTCCTACATTGATGGATTCTTTTTTTTTTTTTCAGTTAACCCAATAGATTTGATAAAGTTGCAGTGTCTGTTTTCTTTTTCTGCACTTGCACTTATAATAGTAGTAGCAATATTGTATGTGTAATGCTATGTAAGGAGATGTTCAAATTTTCTTATGTTGCACTCTCTCTTGAATTGCCACTGTATAAGACAAGAGTCGGTAAGAGAATGGTAGGCGTAACCAGCCCATGAAAGGTACACAAAGAGTTGTTATCAGTACTGCTTACAAGAGAAAACTAGGGTGCAGAAAATTAAAAAGACTTAACAAAATGACTCAGTTTATCTTATTTTCTAGGCCATTGTTCTAAATATAAGAACATATTAAACTTGGGATAACATAGCAAACTACCAGAATCTAATATCATACTTTAACTTTCTGAACACCAGCAATTTGGCAAATAATTTGTGGAAGAGGAATATGACTAACTCTAAGATGTATAAGTCTTTTTTTTTTTTTCATACCAATCATTCACTTCTTAGTATTATCTCTCTTTTATTATTGGATCATTTTCAGCAGTAGTAATTCCATTGATGAAGCTAATCACTAGGTGTATTTGTATCTGTGAACTACAGAGTGGCCTTTTGGTGTGATGTTGAAGAATTAGAATGTTCATGTAACCAAAGTAATTGAGTACAACTTTCACTTTAAGAGTTTCATAGGGAGGAAGGGAGGAAGTGAAGGAGGGAGGGAGGGAGGAAAGAGAGAAGGAAGGGAGGAGGGGGAAGCAGGAAGGGAAGGAAGGAAGAAAGAGAGAAAGAAGAAGGAAGGAAAGGAAAGGAGGGAAGGAGGGAGAGAAGAAGGAAGGGAGGAAGGAAGAATTTGTAGCCAGGTAAAAAGAAATTGATATATTTTAGCTTCTTCACTTTACCTGTAGCTTACAATTTTCTCAAAGTTCCTGGATTATATGAGAACATTTTATAAAGACTGTTTTTTGTATCTTCTTACTCATTTGTATGGCTTTATATAATACCTGTAAGCATCTCTAGTGTAATTTTAAGGAGCACAAGTAAAGTGTGTCTTTGAGAATTTATGCATACTGTTTACTAGAGTCAATACATTGTCTCCATGAGATTTCCAACAACCATAAACTCACAAATGATCAACAAGGATCTCAGCTGCTAGAATTCTAAGAGTTACAGTGAAACCAAACTATCCAAAACCAAAAGGGTTAGATGTGTATCTGGCCATAGAGTTGTAGTGGTTAGTTTTGTGTCAACTTGACAGGGTCACAGGAAGCCCAGATATCTGTCTAAACATTATTTTTAGGTGTTCTCATATGACATTAGTATTTGGATTGGTAGACTTAGTAAAGCAGGTGGCTCTCTCCAGTGAAGGATGCACATCTTCCAAGCTTCTGAGAGCCTTAAGGAAACGAAACAGTGGAAGGAGGTTGAATTCACTCTCAGCCTGACTAGTTGATCTGGATATTGATCTTCTCTTGCCCTCTGTGTTTCTGACTCTCAGGCTTTTTGACTGGAACTGGCATATATACCACTGACTCTCAAGCTCTCAGCCCTTTGAACTTCGTCACCAGCCTCCCTGCTTCTCTTGTTTGAAGATGGAAGATCAGGGGACATCTCAACCTCCACAGCCATGTAAGTCAACTCCTTCTTACATATATCTATATCTATATCTATATCTATATCTATATCTATATCTATATCTATATCTATATCCTCGTAGTTCCATTTCTAATACAAGAGGAAAGAGGAATTTAGATAATTCAAAGGTATGTCCTAGAGCTCCCTAATTTGCCTAGAAGGTGAAGTACTTTAGTCTTCTATGGCAGAAGGATATTCTGCTTCCTAATAGGCAGGGGCATCCCCTCCATGCATGTAGCTTGTGGATTCAATAAGCCACCTGTTGAGAATCTCGCAGGGGTCATGGTACCACTAGTGGTAACCAGAAAAAGAGCTATGTGACTGCCCTCTAGGAACCTACTGTCAGAGTTCCAAGATGACTCACTCTTTTCCTTAATGGAAGCTGATAGAGGAAGTCTCCGTTGATCTCGCCCTTCAAGGATTAACTAGCTACCTAATATGTTAAAGGCCCCGTGCTATGTGCTGTATACAGACCAGTGAACATGGCAGATTTGGCTGTTGCTCTTAAAGTTTTTGCTAAGAGAAATAGACAGATATTTCATCACTATTATTATATTGTGCAAAGGGAAGAGAAGATATATGGAAAGCTGGCACCTGAGGGGGGGAAGGGGATTGCAGAACTATCTAAAGATAAGTTAAAGGTCACTAGGGGAAGAGGAGAAGGATTTGGGAAAGGGCATTTGCAAAGGCCACGAAGCAAAACCTGAAAGGTCAAGATGATGAGGTAAAGAGAAGAGGGGAGTTGTGTGAGGTGAAGATAAAGAACCGAGGCCAGCCAACACAGGGCCTCATCCTAACGGTCTGGGACTTGAAGCAGGATGTGGATGGCACCAGATCTGCCGCACTAACACATTCTCTTGCCCCTGTGGAGATTGGTTCAGAGGTCAGAGGGACAAAACTAGGGTAGAAAGCCAGGTAATAGAGGTAGGATGGAGATGGCAAAAATGAAGTGCGCAGATTCAAGAAGTATTTAGGAAGGAAAATAGAAATAAGTAAAAGATTGAGCATGGGAGATCAGGAAGAGTGTGATACCCAGGAGGACTCCCAGGATCCTGGCTTGTGCACAGAATGGTTGGTGGAACCCTTCACTCAAGTGGAGAAAAATGGGAGAAAACCAAGGTTGGGAAAAGGTGAGCTCTGGCTTATCAGAAGGAGGACAATATTAAGGATGACTCAGAAGCGTGAATCTGGGCAGCTGTTGCATTTAGTAAAAGATAAGGCTCTGTGTATGTGTGCTTAAGCCTTTGGGGGGAAGGTGCATTTTTAATCATTGTCAAGTATCTGTCATAAGACCACTTGAAAATTTGTGTGCATTCCTGACTTTCTACCATAGATCAAGGATTTAAATAACCTAAATAGTAGCATTGAATATCTGTCACATGATTATAATACAACATTGTTTATTTCATCTCTCTTCCCTCCTCTTCCTGGTTTGATTCCCCACAGTTTGTGTCCCGTGTCAATCTGGATGATGATACAGAAGGAGATGGTCGGTGGGGTCAGACTCCATAATTTAAATCCTGATGTTAGTTACCATTTGCTAGTTGTAGGATTGTAGCAAATTAGGCAAACTTACTGTATCTGTTATGTTAATTATATTATAATTATTATGATTTATTCACCTATAATACTGCAGGAGTTGTGTGACATTTTAATAAGAAAGACCTACAAGATTTGTTATACCACCTAGTCTACAGTGGATGCTCAAAAAAATAAAATGACGACTGCCATTAGTATCAGAGTGTTCTCGCTCCTATCCTGACACTCTCTCATCTGGCAAACCAAGATGGCAGATGGGTTCCCCTACTCCACCCTTTGCAGAGACTGGAAAACAAGAAGCATTCTAATTTGAGCTTAGTATGTGTGTCAGTCCCAGGGAATCCTGCCCACTCCCCCCCCCCGCCAACCGCTTGGCTTGTCCCTCTCCACAGAACTAATGAGCTCACCCCTCAAGGCCACTGCTGAGGCCAAGAATTTCATTCATCTGTTTTCTCTGTTTCTACTTATTCACCTTAAAACAAAAGGTGAGAGCTCTTTTTGTACACATGGAGGCACGTTAACGATTCCTCAGGTTCTGTCTGCGTGAGTTGGAGGTAAGCCCCTGCCTGCAAACCTTTGACTTTTAGGAGGATGCAGACCCAGAAATCATGTCCTGGCCTTGGGTGCCCAAAATGCTTTTGACTGAACCATTTGAGTAGTTGTTTATGTGGACCTAGTGTTCGTTTCAGCTGCCAAGTTTAGAATTAAATGACTTGCATTACTACAAAATGTTAGCAGAACATGTTTTCCAAAATAAATGTCATTACATCTACGCTCCCACCAACTGATTAGAGACTTGAACTCAGAAAATATGGCAAAAACAGCAGAGCAGCAAAAGCAAGAAAAACACATGCTCATTTCATATGGTAGAAAGGACTCTTCCTCTCTGCAGAGCACATCCACTTGGTGAATGAGAAAAGTAGGGGGAAAAAATGAAAGGAAGAAGAAAAGAGAAAGAGAAAGAAAAAGAGAAAAGTGCTTCATCTGAACCTAGGGAAATCCTGCAAGTGACTCTCTCTCTTTCCAGCTCACATTGCAGTAGATGTCACTGGGTTTACATTTTCATGACTTCGGTTTACATCTGTAAATTAACATCTCATTATGTTTTAGTTATAATTTAAAAAATAACCCTAATCCGAAATCCTGAAGAACACAGTGCTGCTAAGTCAGAGCAGCAGTATACCCAAGGAAAGTTTCACAAAGAGAGCCTCAAAAATAACTTACATATTGTCTTCTGGAGCCCAGGGTCCTACGAATCTTCAGACAGGTTATCTTTACAGTTCTGAGAGTTAATGAGCCATGAAGGGATCCTTTAAGGTCTGATGTCACAGCAGTGGCCATATGAGTTTGTCATTGTGATGACACTTTTTAGAAAATCATCTCAATTTGTTCCTTGTACTTGGAGAAGAGGGGGAAAAAATTGTACCTTATTCCTACCCATTACCTCCATCTGGGATACAAGCAATGTCTGATTAAGCATATGGCATATAAACAGTAATTTAATTAAATGTGAACAAAGCCTTTTCATGCACCATATTTAAATTTTGAAATGCAGCCCAGTTTTCCATTTGAAATACATGAAACAGCAGCAAAAAAAAAAAAAAAAAATTAAGTCACATACTTAATGACAGATGTGATGCTGACATGTGCTCTTGCTCTCTGACGTGGCCTGGCTCCATCAATAAAGGTAAGCTCTTTACTTTTGATGATGAGTATGCTCTACCTGACACGCCATAGTCTTGAATGTTTTTGTCACAACCAACATTACATTTTAATACGGTCCCAAGCATAGCTGCCTTGTGATTTCATCTAATTGTAGCATCTGAAATAGTTTGATTTCATTTGCTAGCGTGTTTTAAAGAGAGTCCCATCACAAGCTAACCAGGGAGCGCTTCTAGAAACTTATGTGTTGTCTTAGACGTTCGTGGGCACCTCAAGAAACAAGTATGACTCTGAAAACAGAGAAGTTTGTGGATCCTGCCTGTACAGAAGTTTTGAAATTGATTTAGCTAATTATGGAGTGCTCCTACAACAAAAGCAAAGAATTTCACCGAATGATCACAGGGAGACTCACATAATGATCATAGAATAAGTACCAAATATCCCCTGTGAAGTTGGCCAAAGAAGCAAAAATACAAAAAGACTACGCGAATACTGAAATGTTTGTTTATTTCTTTTGTTGGAAATCATCAGGATTCCGCGAAGATCCTACTTTTACTACACAAAGTAAAATGTCTGAGGCAGACAGCATGGTATATACGAAGATCATCCAGTAGATTGTCTTATTTTTCAGAAAGCCTTAATATGTTAAACAAAGTCATTTATTATCTCTTGTGCTCTAATTGCCCAATTACAACCTTTACTGAAGCATTACTTTCCTTACAATGAAATGGATTTCTCACAGCCCCATCCCCTATTCTCATACAGAAAGTTCAGATCAAAAAAACCTGCCTGGAGACTTCTTTCCATATTATAATGAAGTCACCCACTGAAAATATACCAAGGCTTTCAGAGTGAGAGCTCTCAGCCCAGATTTTCTTACCTCTCCATCTGACAGTGTCATGTGTTAGACATACGTTTAAAACGCATGATGGCTTTCGATTCACTTGTCTTCATCATTTCTCAGCTTCCATCTTCTAGAGAAAAAAGACCAATAAAATTCAAAACGTGTTCTCCTGAGTGCTTTTTTTCCATGAATGTTTAAACTCGTGCATCTGGCAAGAGAATAAAATCCGTGTGTTTCCAACTCATTTACACTTAAGTCACCAAAATGTTCTTTTTGAAAAGAGAACCGACATCCAACAAGTCCTTCTGAACCTTTTTTTCTTTTACATATTAGTCCCATCTTGTCGACTTCCAGCTCCCAAGGTTCAAGGTTGGTTCACAGCTTTGAACCCATATGCTGAGAATAAGCGTGAAACTTAACAAAACAAACATGCGTTGCTGTGACCCCCTCTGAAAATACTTCCACCCGAGCTTTGGGCGTGACATTTTGTCACTTCGTCAATCTCAAGTTATAGTGGGAATGAATGAGGCAAGTGGGGGAACAAAAAAGAAACTTTAAAAGGACTAAAGGAAACAGGAAATGACTAAGTCACCTGGGATGTGGTGCGTAGAAAGAACACTGGTGTGGAAGTAAAGGGAGGCCTCACAGTCGCTCTGCCCGGCTCTGGACCAGCTACAGCATTCTAGGCACAACATTATCCATCCAGTCTGAGCAACAAAACCCACAATTAGAAAAATGAGAGGGTCAGGGGCACCTGGGTGTCTCAGTCCGTTAAGCATTGGACTCTTGGTTTTGGCTCAGGTCACAATCTCCTGTTCTGCGAGTTCCAACCCCCACATCAGGCTCCGTGCTAATAGGGCAGAGCCTACCTGGGATTCTCTCTTTCTCTCTCTCTTATTCTCTTTCTCTCTTCTCTTTGTCTCTCTCTCCTGCACACTCTCTCAGAATA